GTTATAGTAAAATACGTATGAAATATATTCTATATATGGACGACAATATTCGACTTTCACTGGGAAAAAAAAAAAAAAAAAAACCCGTCGTATAGATGAGATTTGAACACAAAGTAGGCACCTCTGTATTACGCGCGGATCGTGGATTTGTAAAACAGTACCTGCCCAAAGTAATAACAAAACGCGTCTGTATACAGAGTGTCTCACGAGGAACGAAGATATTATACAAAGTAGGTAATCGGTTCGTCCTCAAAATAAAGACGAAAAACAAAAAATGGTAACATTTTGGAACTACTCGTTTTTTGGATTATAAAAAAAAAAAAAATCCAAAAACGTTAATACTTTCCAAGACACCGCGATAATCGTAATATCTTCGTGAGACACTCTGTATAATATATTTATATATAATAGTTATGTACGGGCAGGGGTTTTTATTTATGACTTTTGGGAAACGTGCGATTATTCGTTTTGTTCCTCGGTAAAAATCGAGATGAAATTTAACCCCTGCCCCCCTCCCATCTTCAAACATTCCGCACGAGAATTTTTTTTTTTCTTTCACGTTGTCGAATTGAAAAAAAAAAAAGAAGCTATACGTTCCTACACATAATACGATCGGCTGTCTAAATTTATCAATTCCCTGTATACCTGCATCACGTCATAAGCTCAAAACAAAATTAATATGTTTACATTTTGCGAAACGTATACCCGTAGTGCATTAAATAATACATCGTAATGCGCTGCGCATTACCTGTAATAAATTAATGATAATATACGCGCCTAATCGACATGAATAATTAACACAGTCGTTTTAACTAGCTGTTATTTTAAGTTGCGGGACATTAATTTTCTTTTGAAACAAAGGTGTTCACATCTTCAAAAACCAAAGCGGTATCTACTTAATGGATCGTTGGAAAATCTTACCGAACTACCGCAACACCCAACATCCCCCCCCCCCGTCGAAATTTTTTATTATTTTCAAACTTAATGTTAATTATGTTTGTAACAGAATTGCTAGACGATTTAATTCAACCCGCTCCCCTCTCGAAAATTTGGCCCGACTACGGCCTTTGACACAACCGAACCTAACCAAGAGGCGAATCAAGGGGATAATATTCTGAACCGTTGATTACGAAAAAAATCGTCATGCACTGTGGCCTATGGAATAAGACTAAATTCTGAATTCCCCCTTTTCCGAAGACCCCATCACTCCTTGAATAATTTCTGTATTCCCCCCCCCAGACATAACCTTGATAATATTCTGTTCAAAAGCTTTTCAAGGTATTGTTTTCTTCGTTGAATTTATTACATAATACGGTAGGTACCTACGTGTCCAGAATTCTTTTTATTGCAGTAGGTTTTTACTGTCTATTTACTTAAAACATATATTACAGAAACAAAAAAAAAAAAAATGACATAAAACGTAGTTGTGCGCACAACATAAACATTTTTACGCATAGTTGTTCGAAATAATGAATTAAATTTAATATTTTACGAGTATTTACGTCCGAAAAATTGTTTCGTTTTTTATTAATTTTCACGACTCTCAATCACACCATTTTGTTTTCAGGTGACAGAACTCTATGCATATCGTCGACCAAATTTTACATGACATATTCGTTTATGGTCGCGGCGACTTTGATATCGAGCGGCATGAGTTTGGTCCTATGGGTTCGATTGCAACGCAAGATCTATAAACAATGATAATATTATGTCCACGAGTAAACGTTATAAATTGTTTTTTGTTTTTTTTTTTTTTTTTTTGTGAATACCAAAATTAATTTCATTTATGATGAAATATATTCTATGTAACAGGTATAAAAACTGAAAAATCAAATCGTAGGTACCGACAAACAGTCGAAGGATTACACATTATATACATTAAGAAGATTTTTGTATTTTTCTTTTATAAGTGTATATAATATATTATATATATAAACTTTTTTTTTTTTTACTTTTATATTTGTTTTATTTTTTATTTTTTTTTTTTACAATAATTTTTACGAATCAAATATTTTAGCATATATTTTTATGCGTATTATGTAAATACTATTATGCTAAATATATTGGAGTAAACATATAATATGTACTTAGTGTCTAATTTTTATACACATATATATTTTTTTTTTTTTATAGTTGTTATTAAATATATTAAGTACCTATGTACATATTATTATAATTATGTTTGATATGTGCCTATATTATATTTGTGTACTAAACAAAATAAATTCATATTAACTCTAAACAGCAACTATTGCAAATTTAATATAATTCCTTTTAGATTCTGAATGTAGCCAAGAATGTATTGGTTTTGCGAAGATGTTTATTTTTTTTTATACTGTGTACAAAAATTCTACCAGAATAATACTTTCTAAAAGAAAATTTTACTGGGGCGGTCTTTACTTTAGGGTGATCATTTTTTGATTTTCAAAAAGTTTTCTCAATGGATGGGAAAAAACGGAAAAATGTACGAAATGTAGGTATTAGTAAAAAAATACTACGGCCTTTTTTTTCTGTGAACAACTTTTCAACGAACAGTTTTGCTCCGATTTACAATGAAAGGACTTTTTCTGAAAGAAAATCTGACTGGAAAAGTACTTTAACGAGGTAATTTTTCGATTTTCCCTAGAGTTTTTTAGCAAAAGTAAAAAACCAAGAAAAAGCTAGAAAAAATCGATACAATATTAAACAAATATTGTTGACAAAATATCACTGTCAACTGAACTCCATTCAAAATCGTTTTTTCGTTAACAATGGTTTATCGTTTCTTACAGATGTACATTAAATTCCCTTCTATATCCTAACTTCCTAACTTCCCACCTACAACAGTGGCTATACCAGTTTCCATTATCATAGGACAGCTCTTTTTGATTTGATTTTGCATGTATTCAGATTCTGATTTTTGGAATTTTGAGGTGTAGTTAAAGCACAACATTTAAGAAGTATCCTACGGTGGTACAAACTTTAGTTTTTCAAATGATCACCTATATTAAAAATTCTATAAAAAGAAGGAGTATTACTTTAAATATATTTTGTTGTCAACATTTTTGATATCCGTCAACCGGTTAACGATATATTCCACTTTTAAGTTTAGGTAAGGGAAGAGTAGTGGAGCACTAACAAAACGCTGCGCGCCAAATGATATTCATCTACTCTCCCCCTACTTAAAATATTTTTAAATTTAAATAAATTGTTAAAAATGCAACTATCTCTATTATCGACGCATTACAATTAAAAATCACAAAATAGATAACGATTACAAAGCATTAACCACCCAGTTGGTTTACAACAAACAAACCAGAAACGTGCTCACGAGGGAGGGGATGAGGATATCATATCCCCCCATGAACTTTTTGTGTTATGCATTCGCTTAAAGTTCCTTGGTCGTTTCGGTTTTCTCGGAAAAAAAAAATAGTGCGTATAGTTGATTTTAATTTATTATTATCATACATAGTATGTATAATATATATATAATATTTATAACATATGTTTAGTAGATACTATAGTAATAGTATTTGTCTATAGACGATGCATAAATATTCTAAAAAAAAAAAAAAAAGGTACCAATAGACTATCATAATATTTCAGTCCATTTTATTCTGATATCTATGTTATAAACGCGACCATCGGCATATTAATATATAACCAATAGTATTTATAGTTATGCAGTTTTTAGCTATGCTATAAGACAACTTTTATATTAATGTGCACGTGCCTGATTGCTTAAATATTTTCAAGAATTTCATGTCGTTTTAGACTGAAAGTATGCATGTAAACGATATAAACGTGTTAGGATGTAATGCTTGTACACACTTTGATCGTGACGTTCGCGCGAGAATTGTCCCAAGTAACTTTTATTAGTACCGGTGTACTGCGGTTCAGTCGGCAGACCTCGAAAGAAATGTATTGAATGTCCGGAAAAGTCCGTTTGGTGCAGTTAGTGGAAATTTCTCGATGAACATACGACAGAGTCATCTAGTGTCGTTTTTTAGCAACATGGACAAGTCACGGTGGTTTCACCACCACGGCGTACGTTAGGGTTGGCCGTCGGAAACGCTGCACGGTCTAATACGACCATAGTCTTATACACTTATAAACGGAACATCTATATCTCTTCTTGTAGAATGATGCAGTCAAGAGAAGTAGAGTTGAAATAGACATACCTGTTGAAAAACATTCGTTTTTGTATAGCAATATAGAAGAATAGATTTTTACCTACGGATACACTTATATCCACGAAATAGGTATCTGTACATAATGGTTCGTAAATGCGTAATATGCGAAACATGTAAACATATAATATTTTATCCTAGGCTTAAATTGATATTTATTTACCTTAATATTCTGTTTAAGACTTGACTACTTGAATAAATTCTTAAATGTATTACTATACCTAAGTATTCACTAAATATCCATTAGCTGTTTTGCGCGAGCCAGTATTATCACAATGATAATTAATGTATTATAATTAAAAAACATAATTTCTACTTCTCTTAACTGCATCATCCTACGGGAAAGATACGGATGTTCCGTTTATAAGTATATAAGACTATGGTCGTATTAAACCAACCCCAACGTGTGCCGTGGTGGTGAAACCGGGCGACTCGTCCATGCAACGAGAAAACGACACTAGATGGCTCTGTTGTTGTATGTTCATCGAGACGTTTCCACCAACTACGCCAAACAGACTTTTCCGGACGTTAAAAACATTTCACTCGAGGTCTGCCGACGGAATCGCAACGCACCTGTACTAATGAAAGTTACTTCGGACAGTTCTCGCGCGAACGTGACGGTCAGAGTGCGAAAAAGCGTTACGCCGTTCCTGCGACCTGCTCAGTTCGGTTTGCCGTAATTTAGCATAAGTACTGGCAAACAACCCGGTAAAATTTAAGATCATACTTCACAGGATCATTTCTGTAGTATGCATCGTCCTCTCCAGGTGCAAATCTGGAGTTGCCATCAGCCACGATGATGAAACTTGTCCATTTACCAGAGCGTGAGACAGCTGGTAGCATGTTGATTTACTTCGACGGTGGCTATTCAGCGACGATGATCGCGACTGGGTCTCGAACCCGGGGGTACATGGACAATCTGAGTGGTTGTCTAACTAACATCGAGTGTTTTGTTTAAAACATTCGGAGGTTAAATATATTTACAGATGAAATTATAATTAAAAATTCTTGCAACTTGTAATCGAGTTGAACAAAAAATTTGTATTCAAGAACCAAAGAAACTCAACAATTTCGTATAAACTTGTAAATCATCAAAATTTTTATAAAATTATCGCCCGCGTCTGGAAAGCGCTAATAAAATAATTCTACCACCGTTGTTTTTCACCGAATTACAAAAGAATAAAGAACAACAGAAACCGTTATATACCGCGTAAATACTCCCCGAGTTTTTCAAACTATTAAGAATGCTACAAGGAAAATCGTTAAAAATTAATCTCCCCGGTACACCGAATAGACGAAATTCGCTACGGTAAAACCATCATTGAGTCTAAAAAGTACAACAGCACGTGTATACGCTTTATTATTGCGATTTCAGGAGAGGTATAATATTTTATTTTTTTTCGGAAGCACCTCCCGGGACGACATACCATTAGGTTAAACAGACGTCCAAATGAATTTCCCCGTATACGAAACGACTGTTGTAGAAAATAATAAGAGGTGATACGAGGTTAGGTCGGGTTAAGTAATAAGGTACCTGACACCAGTGGCGCCGAAGCATTTTAAAAATGCATTAACAAGGTAATACCGTCTTATATCGGTCTTCTTTGAGTGCGATATATTACATTACTCCTAATACTATCTGTTGCAGTTATATTTTGCTTCAAATACTTTGTTCACACTATGTATGTTTCCCACCACTAGCACCTACCACCGGCAAATAATTTGGTCGGGCAGACGCTCGATTCGTGGTAACCCCAAGTTCGGCGACACTGGGTACCACCTTTGCGGGAATTATATTGCATTTTACATTGTAATATCGACTTTATAAATGATTAAATGCATACGCGACATTATAATAAAATGCCAAACGGGATACGTTTCAGATACTTCTGTTAAGTTATAAGTTTTGATATCAATGCTTTTTTCTGAGACCTTTCCCTTGCGTTATGAAATTCCGAGTTGAGTTTTCATAATTATATAATACTCGTATACCGGTGTGAATCTGTGATACATCTCCTTTAAATAAAATTAATAATTGAGGAGTAGAGTCCTAATTATTGCTGTTAAGTTCCATTTGAAAAGTAAAATGTCCAATGTCACTATTAACGTTACATCTGTCTAACCCAAAAACTAATTTTATCCTTTTAGGGGACTTTAAAACATGCCTACGCTAACGAAAGCAGTCTAAACTGGTCTCTTTATTCCTTTCCTCTACATTTTGTTTCTCAGATAGACTTTTATTTTACCAGTACGCTATCACGTAATTTTAATCTGTTTCAATTCAACTTAATGTGTAATCATAATAATACCAATAATTTAGATTTAGCTTTGTCTAACGTTCACGTTGTATCCCTAAAAAGACCCGGACCCTTTGTTACCGATCGATAAACACCGCACCAGGTATAGGTAATCAATTTAATATGTTACCTGTTGATAATTTTATTTATGAATGTGTAAACTGTGATTACGGAAAAAAAAATTTGAGCTTTATGTAGTACTTACCCACCTATTTATTTTCGTAAAGGAGTTTTCATATCAAACTTTGACGAATATTGTTTGAGTAAAGAACGATGCGCAAAAAATCTAACTACTGGTCCTTCCAAATTTTTTGTTTTATCAAATATATATATATATACGTATATTGCCGATTTAATAACGATGATGAAGTCAGAATTGAACGAACTGACTTAGTTTCGAAATCATAGCTTTTTGAAGTGCCAATATTATGGGGATGTTATAAAACGTGATATGTTAAATAACTCAATATTGTCGATATTTTGTATGTATGTCGTAGTCTAATGGTGTTATGTATCTAAAACCAATCATCCGACAGGTCGCAAGTTCTCAAATCCGTTTGACATTTTTTTTGCAAAATAACGCCAAGTGACAGGGAAATTTTGTTTCAATAAATAAAATTGAGAGTAAATTTGTAGTGTATTTTTTTTTTTTAAGTTTTAAAATCAAATGTCGACGAAAATTGTAAATACTACCTACTGCCTTTCAAAATATGTATAACCGAACTTCGCTCCAAATTATTTTTCATTGTCAATGGTTTATCATTGGTCACGGGTATAAATTAAATAATTCCATGTATTCCGCATTTCCCACTGCCCACCTACAGTAGGCGCAACCGTCCGCAGTATCAGATCTTGTTTTATTATGTTTGCTATTTTTCTTTTATTTGCTTTTTAATTTATAATACAAACAATTTTTTTATATACTAGTTAAAATTTTAACTCTGTTAATTGTATGCTACTATTAACTATACCTTGTACCTACCATAATTTATATCATACATATAATAGGAGACTAGTACCTACGTGGCTACGTAGATATGTTAATAAAATTAGATAAAGAATAAAATAAAAATAAAATACATACGAAATTAAATATCTCAAGGGCGTATAACGCGAAAGACTATTATACCCGTATGATCGTATATAATATTGTGAAAAACTGGACGTCTGCTGCGGTCGTGTGTTCTAGGAAACAGGACCGTCCTTACAATTTGCGGGGCCCGGGGCATAACTCTCTTAGCGGGGCCTACCAAAATAAATGTAATGCTTTCCGCACAAAGGCAATATTACACTCCCAGGGGCCATAACCTCTCCCATTTCAAAATTTAAACATTAGTAAAATATGTTCACATATTACTTTTACCAATAGGTACACGGCAGTACCTCACCTAACCCACTAGTATCTTTACCTAACCTATTACCCACCTTTATTTCATCCTTAATTATGCTTTTTATTGTGCCAATTTTAATAAATGAGCACATCCAAAAAAACTTATTTTACATCATACGAGATAGAACCTGTACATTTGTCCTTTTTAACAACACAATATATATTACGTATGTTTTTCGATGGATTAACGAATAGGTACTTAAAAAATTAATAAAATAAACCTGATTACACACGAATTCATCAGCAATGTTGTCATATGTACATACTATATACCTACTCAATAATTATCCAGTACAATAATTTTATCAGAACTACAAAAAATAAATTATTATTATAAATAAAATAATTAATATATAAATAAAATCATAGTTAAAAAAATTAAATACTTAAAAATACATAAATTTTAATTCCTGAACATCTATAATATTATACTTTTAAATATTTCAATACATTTATATGGATTTTATACTCATCATAATATTTTAAATTTGAATAAAATACTGTTTTGCATTTTCTTTATTTTCCCGTTATTAATTATATATTAATTATATACAATTAACATTATATTAATACCGATTAATTGTATAATCGGTATTGTTTATTAAAACTTAAAATCACTAACTATTTCTTTTTTATGGATTTTATAAGTTTAATAAAATTTTCGATATTACTAAACGTCGATAATATATACACACATATGACGATCAACAACAAACTGAAGGGCAGAAAATAACTATACATTTGAAATATCAAGATTTGCAACATTTTATTTTAATTAAATACAAGCTTGAACTCGCTCTATAGTACATAGCAGAGTCTGAAGCTAAGTGGGGGTCCCACCGGACTAATCAGTACTCAAGCAGGGACCATACTAGCAAGCAATAAAGGACATTTATTGGAGAGGTGAGCTTGAAGTGTGATAATATCTGTTTTATGAACCCCCAAGGTCTTGTAGAGCTTGCAACTTATTGATAGAATGTGAAAATGGTAACTGAAGTCTGAGTAAAAGAGAACACCCAGGTCCTTTTTGTATTTGACTGATGGTATAGTCATATTGTTTATTGAATAAGTGCAGCTAATTAAGGAACGACACCAGGCAAATGACGTGCATTGACATTTACCCACATTCAAATACAAACTGGCAATCTTAAATAAATAAATGTATTTAAGATAAAACACCGTAAATAAATTTATATTAATAAAAATATGTCAACTATATTATAAAACAGCTTTTTACAAATAAAATTATCAAAAATAAAGTAATTAGTTTAAATTATTGTGAAAAATAGGTATATTTTCCCAAAAACAGTTTTCTATTTTGTGATAGAACTTGTTATTTTATGTTGGTGAGAATGTCGTTTCGTTTTTCCACATGAATGTCCAAGGTCCATTTAATGGTTTAGATGTAACTATTCCGAATATTTTCATAAAATTTTTCTTTAATAATCAAGCTCTGAATATTCTTCTTCGAAATTACATTTTGTTCAAAATAAATAAATAAGACATCTATGAATAATAAGTGGTTTTTTAGTTTATTACATACTTATTTTATTTTTGTGATTTATTATATCTATTCATAAATAAAAATAGAAATAATTCATTATTTTCAAATCTACTCTAGATTTGTTTGCAACTCCCATAGCTTTAACAAAATCGTTAAAATCATAAGGTTTTATGGTGGTTAAAAGATTATTCTACTTGATGGTGAATATTTGCAGATTATAATTAAAAATATGTTGAACTCTAGAAAAATGCTAAGCAATAATGCAGTAATTTTAAAAGAACATGGAAATATAAAGAAAAAAATGCCGTATGTATACAAATATTTAAGGCCTAGTAAATGTAAGATACAGTGTTCTTACTTAGTACCACTATTTTTTTTAGTTGCTTATGGCATTATCAACTAACTATAATTGTGTTTTAAAACCTATTTAATGTAATTTCTAGATTTTTTTATACAGAAAATAAATATAATTGGTATAGCTATCAAATGCCATAAGTAACTCATTTTTTCAAGTTACAGCACTTTTGTTTAACAGAGCAGTATATTATAGTTTTCTGCATATAATCTATGGCACAGATCGTATAACAATGATTATGGTATTTTCGCGGACATATAAACATATGTTTATATTTTTATGGATATTTACATGTTACTTACATTAATTCAAAAGTGATACCGTTATATTAGTCTGTGACATAAACTGCGGACTGTGATGATAATATGTTCACTAACTAAAATTAAGATTATCAATTTGAGTTTTACTTATTTAATAACTAATGAAAAAAAATAGGGGGACTAAAACACTTATTGAGGAAGATATCAGTCCCTATAATCCCCCCTCATCCTACACCCATGTTGGTTACTTGTTATAAACTAAAATTGATTATAATTAAATATTGATAATGAATTATACTTAAATACAATAATTCATTACTATTAGCAATTAAAATATGTAAAACAATTTGTCCATCACTGTCTGAATTAAATGTTGTTTATATAATGTTTCAAATATTAAACATTTAGTTTAAAATTTAAACTCTTCATGCAATGAATTGAGGGTCCCAACCAAATTTTTCCACGTGTTTTATATTATTAATATCATTCAAATCATCCTTTGAGAGTTCTATGTCGACATCAAAATTGATTTTTATCCTTTCTGGAGTAATTGATTTTGGGATTATTGCTGAAAATGTAAGTAAATAAAAATAACAATAAATGTAGCAAATACAAAAATAATAATTTAAATAAAGATTTAAATATTTAATTGTTTTACCTGTATAAATGTTAATTAACTATTTAATTTAAGGGGGATGTTGATTGAGAAAATAACAGATCATTACACAATTGATAGCAACTGTCCAGAAAAATAAGTCAATTTAGAAACCAATTATCACCTAGATATCAATCTTGCTAGGCTAGTGTTTGAATATTTATTTGAAAAATGTATAAAGCAGCAAAATGTATTTATAATAACATTTAATATGTTTTCAAAAGGGGATTTTAAATTCTGAATGGAGCAAGGAATGCATTGGATTTATAATAATGTTTATTTTTTTTATCTGTGAACAATTTTTCTACCAGAAATGTTCCGATTTAAATGTAGCACTTTTTCTGAAATGAAATCTGACTAGAAGGTTAATTTAGGAAAGTAATTTTTTGATTTTCCCAAGGGAATTTAATAGTTAATTAGAAAAATTGGGAAACCTAGGAAAATTTATGAAATTTATTATTTTCAAAACATAAAAAACCGATCTCCACTCAGAATCGTTTAGTAATGATTCATAAGCAATGATTAATCTTTACATACAAATATAAATAAAATTTCTCCTATAACTGACTAACTCCTCAGCTACAACAATGGCCCACCCATCGTATGAAATATATCCATTTGTATTTTGATATATTCGCTATACAATTTTCTTTTAAGATGAAAATTTTAAAAATAGTTTTTTTTACTTTTAAATATGTAGTTAAATAAGTAGATGATTATCTAGGAAATAAATAATCATTTATTTTTAGGTCTATACATACTATTAGTGTGATAATAATAACGTTATTATAAATTACGTTTGGTTCCAAACAAACATATTTTAACATTGAATAGGTCAAATCTTATTTTTAATCTAAAAATTGATACCACGTTTTACTATTTAAAACCATAATATCTGAGTTTGTTTACCTTTAACTGGTGAAAAAACATTGACAGAAATAGTGTTCTGTTCCCATTTTTTTTACATTTTAGTACCTACTTATTATTATATTGGATATTTCTATGGATTTACCATTTACTTCTATCATTAATTCTTAGTCAGTGTTTTATAAATAGTAATTTTACAATATTATGATGGTTTATTGTTGGGCAGTTAGCTATTCTCATAAAAAAAAAAAAAACAGATACATTTGCAAGTTGTTTAGATTCCCTACAAAGTCCAATGAAAAACGAATATTAAATTAAATTCAATTTAATTTAAACCAGCAAATATTAAACTTGAAAACTATTCTCTCAGAAAAAAAAACCAAAAATTACAACTACAAATTAACAGTTTAAGTGTTACTTTTAATATGTAAACAAGAGTTAAAAAAAGGAACTTGTTAAGTTTTACACAGGATTACCTTCTAATAAAATATTACTGGCCCTATTTAATTTATTTAAAAATTATAAGATCCATTATTATTTGAATTGGAAAGTAGATAGTATAAATAAACGGGCTAATTACTCCTAACATTAATAAAACTAAGACACAATTTTCCTCATATACACTTATCTGCTAGGTTCATATGTAATGCAACTACTATAAGTAATATAACAATAATTTTTATAAATATTTTACACAGTATACTTTTTAGTAAATTTATGAATAAAATACCATCTAGACATAAATATAAAACCTGCCTTCCTAATGCGTTTAAAAAATGTTCAAATTGTTGAGTGATCATTGTCTGTACTAAGGTTTTTACAGGTGTATTACATTTGTCTATTAATGGGCATTAATCCCTTTGAGCAAAGGGATACTTATAGTAGCTATGAACACTGTAATAATTGGAAAGTACTTATTTTAATTGTTATATTGTCTATGAAAAAACTAAAAGGTAAACCAATGGATAACAAATGATTTCCAGCCATTATCAAAAGTAAAAACTATCTACGGCAAGAAAAATCAAAACTATTACAAATTCGAGTTTCTGTTTAGATTTCTTCAACAGTTACAGTAAATTTTACAGTTAAATAAATTCAAGCATTATGGGTTCAATCAAGTGATAAAGCATAGTATCTTAATTCAATTTTTAACTATTCGAAGTATAACATTGTAAGATTCTAATTGGAATAAATAAAATATTAAATATTAAATTTTTCCCATTAAATTAAGTGTTAAAATATATTTGTTTGGAACCAAATACCATTTCTGATGACATTTATTCTTATCACCACTAATAGAGCGTATTGCATCCTGAGTATTATTGGAATAACAAAAACACATTTTTATTATACTGCCTATTAGATAGAGAAAAACGGCAAATCTTATTAGGGTGCCTTCTCAAGAGAACACCACATTCGTAAGTGTTGTCACAATCATATAACCGCGCTACATAGCAAATGTTCATTCAGCAAAGAAAACTCTGTACTGTTATTTCTCAGATTAGAGTGAATTGGCTTATTATTAAAGTTAATAATAAAAACACTATCAATGCCATATTGTCGAGTTGTTTATTTGAATTTTTAAGCGAGATATAAACATTAAAATATCACAATTTAAAAACGATTATATTTCGCTTAAAAATTAAAATAACAAAAAAATCAATATGCTCTAATATTAAAAATAACAGTACAAAATTGTACCTACTAAACAACAATTTGCTATGTTGACAGTCGTAGGAGGATACTGGCAATGAATCATCTCAATAAATCAAAATAAAAACTCAGCTCATACCCACCTAGCTACACGAAAGAAATTTAAACATATATTATTCATAAAAATAATACAAACTTGCTAAAAAGTATCATGTCCAATATAAAATTTATGAAAAACATTTTGTGTTTAAATTTATGTTAAATATAAAATTACCATGATAATTGAATAGGTATATCAATCTTACCATAATTTCTCTGAATAGCCCACCTCAATAAGACTTGGGCAGGGTATATGGAATGTTTCTTAGCAATACGTTTAATGACTTTATCATTAAGCAATAATCTTTTTCCAGCAAATCCACCCAAAGAACAATATGCCTGTAGAACTATTTGGGCTTTCTGACAAATATCATGAAACTCTGATGATTGTTGGAAATATGGATGAAATTCAATCTACATATAGTAAATATGTTTAAAAAATATTAGAAATTATTTTATATTACGCATTAGTATCACATACTTTTTAAGTGAAATTTAACAATTTTTTTTTTTAATACTATTAGGTACCTGATTTACAGCAGGAACAATATTAAATGGATCAGCAAGCATTTCTTTTAAATGTCTGGCTGTGTAATTAGATACTCCAATATTTTTTAGTGGACCTTTTCCATTGTCATGCAACTTCATAAGAGCCTTCCATGCCAAATTACGAAGTTTAGAATTCTCAGGACTCTTTGCATCAATATGACTAGCACCAGGCCAATGTATTAAATATAAATCCAGATAGTTGGTACCTAGATTGTCTAATGAACTCTGTACAGCAGCTGTTACCTGTTTCTCATCCCCATAATCTCTGGGTGCTATAAAACAATTAATAAAAATTAATTTAAGTCGTAATAATAATATAAAAAATGGAATTATTATAATAATTAATTAGTGTATATTTATTTATTGTTTTATTCAAATAATTACCAAACTAGTTTTGGTTTTTACCGTTTAAGTAAGAATGCATTATGCTTAGATTTGTACATTAAATTTGTGCTTAAGCTTATTAGGCATTGCTTCTACCAGCAAATCTTAGGTTTATTGAAGAACTGAAAATTATACCTAATTTTGATGTAATAAACAAATCTTCACGTTTTAGATGATATTTCGGCAACAGAACTGCAAGTGCTTCCTTGATGTACTCTTCATTACGATATACTGCTGCTGTGTCTGAAAATAATACTATGTTAGAACAATATATTATAATTATAATATTGACTAATAACAAAAATTTTAATTTCTAAAAACTAATAGAGTAGAAAATATCTAATCATATGAAAATCATTTAGCATTATCTACAGTAAAACATTTTCAAAACAAAAAAATACATCTCTAAACTATTGAATTAAAAATTATAGACAGATTGTTACTTAAACTGAAACAAATATTGGTACCATTGTTTATTTATTCTACTACTCAAACCGTTAGAAAAATCTAACATTGAATGGTATTTTACAGTTGAACAGTACAGTATTTTTGTAGTGGGAAGGGTGAATCAAAACTATCTTACATATGAAGTAATTTTGTAATTCAATAAATAGAAATTGCATACAAATTCATAATTCTGTGAAATTAAGTAAATTGATAAATTGTTAGTAAAAATATAACAAACAAGCAATCGTGTGAAATGAATAAAAGAATAATCCTGGGTTAAGTAGATTTTTTACAACATATGAGCATAATATCTATAAGAAAAAGTAGGCTAGGTAGTAAAAATATTTTTTAAAAAAATGATCTTTACTTTTACGTTTTACCTAATTTAATAAATATTTACCTATTAGCCGATATCCAGCACCAAGAGCCACATCCAAAACATCTAGTATATTTTTTCTGTCATAAATTGTGTAAGTGCCAACTAAAAATCATACATAATTATTATGGATATAATATTATTAAGTTTAAAGAATACTACTATTGAGTATTTATACTCAATGATACTACTGATTTTTTTACTTACATCCAATTATTGGTATTTTATTACTTCCTCCGTGGGTGTTTAAAGGTAAAAAAGTTTTAGAAACAGGTAACATTGTTAAAATATAAAAGGGTAAATTATTAAAATAAATACTTAACACAATTAAAACCTATAACATTAAATTACAACTAACTAACAACACGTTATTACCGTGAACCCTAAAACAAAATTTTGAATTAAAATATGTTGCATGATAAGATTAGGAAATATCACAACTAGTTAATATTATATCTATGAATATTGGGTAATAACTAATATCACAGACTTGTAAATATATGGAAGTTAGTAACAATATACATATGTCCATTATCAATATTTGGTTTCGTTTATCAATGAAAACAATGTACTGTACTAAACAAAACAAATAGGTATTTTTGATTTTTATTTTTTTACAAACGTCAGTTTGACATTTAACTTTTCAATCTTCGAGTAGTTCAACGTCTCGTTAATTATTTTAATTTATGAGTGGATTTGTAATGGATATTATGGATAAAAAAGACTGACACACTTCGCACGATGGGTGGGCCATTGTTATCGATGAGAAGTCGGGAACAGTGGCGGCTCGTGGGTTTTTAATGAAGTAGTGCACACCCAAAAAAAAAAAAAACATATAACCAATATTAAACATAATATATTATAAATTGTATTAAATAATTGTTTACAAACTTTAGTTATTTACCAATTACCTTTTATTTTTATTTCCATTCTTTACCCAAGCGACATCATTAAATTTTTGACCAAAATGTAAACAGGGAAAACAATACAAACGATTAGTTTCTGAACAACCATAAATCCAGTCATAGGTTTTTATATATATTATTATTAAATTTTCTTACATATTCTCTCGTTTTACATTTAGTAATTTGTTTAATATTTAAGTCTGGAGTAGGCCTACCTTTATTTTTTATTTCCATCTTTTTCTCCAACGAAATTGTTGAAAAATTGCATTGCAGTATTTTCTGTACTGAATTCATTTTAAAAATTGAAAACAAATACACGAATAATAATAAACGTAATGTCGGTCGNGATAATCGGAATATAATAAATGAATGAGAGTAAAAATAAACTATAATGCTGATGCCGACGCGCAACGACACGGCGACGTCGAAAATAATTCGCTGATAACAATTTAATTGGTTTTGTGCACAGAAACAAATGTGCACACTAATTCCATTATAACGCGGGTTGCGTGTTTCGGCTTGTTTTAATTTTTACACTGTACAAATGTGCACAACGATTGTGTGCACAACTCCCACCACTATAATACACACCGAAACTGTTCCGTCGCGGAAAACAGTCCGGCTATTTGGCAATCGAAATAACGCAAACTAAATATTATATTATTTTCATAATATTCTGAATTTATAATATTATATTTTGAAAAATAATCTTAATAATACTACAGGTACTTAGTAGTTAGTTGTATTATTATGATTTATGTTTTCAATTTTTCTTGAGTTTGGGTAGGTAGTGCACGTGCACTTGTGCACATATAAACGAGCCGCCACTGGTCGGGAATGAGTATACTCAATCCGACTCTATTAGTTTCGGGTATTCGTATTTTAACATTCGTCCACTCAACCGTATTCTTAATCATAATAATTCTCCATTAGACCTTGTATTTTCATCATTTTCTTTGTTATCTGTCTCCTTTTCATTGGACCCTATCGTCCCCGTCGATAACCCAACCAAACCATCGGGGTTCGGCTATATGTGTTTTTAAAGACCGTAATATTTACGATTTTCGTCAAAGTTTGATATTAAAATAATTATAAAACAAATTCCAAATAAGTTAATTTTTTTTTTACCACAAAGTACGACTTTAATAAACTTCTGTTAAATATTCAAGTATTTCTGTTTGATCTAACAATTTATTCCACAGAGTAGGTACCCCTCCAAATAAAAATTACGTAAAACACGCGCAAAATTTAAATGTCTCAAAAATAGCTAAAATGTTTTGAAAATTTTATTACGTCTAGAAAAACTAATTGTTTTCAAGTCTACGAATATTTCACAAATCTAACAAATTTCCAAGTGTCTTAACTTCAAAAATAATCAATTTCGACAATTTTTTGCACCATCTTTTTGAAAACCCCTATTCTTCGAAGAAGAAAGGTTGAAAATCCAAAGGGGATTGCCAAACTAAAATTTGTTCGCAAATGTTTTGTATTACAAAAAAACTATTTATTTGTCTACCTATCTGATGCATCAGAAGAAGTGAATAATTTGTAAATATTAATTATTACTAGATCCATAGTTGCAATAATATTATGTTGAACTATAAAAAAATAATTATATTACTATAAAATATAAATATAACTAAATTACTTCTGGGTAATAATTGTTTACATTTTTCAAATTTATTGAAAACGCGGATACAAATTATCAAATTATGAAAATATACCGTTGAAAAATATAAAAATAATATGTAACCTAATGATATTGAAAACAACCATTGGTTACAACAATCAAAACATTCGGAAATAACTCTCGAAGTTAATCAGAGTATAAATTATCAGTAGACCACTCAGACTGTCCATCTACCCCCCGGGTTCGAGACCCGGTTGCGATCATCGTCGCTGAATGGCAAAAGTCAAATAAATTGACAAGCCACCAGCTGTCTCACGCTCAGGCAGATGGACAAGTTTCATCATCGTGGCTGATGACGACTCCAGATTTGCACCTGGAGGGGACGATGCATACTACAGACGTTCACGCGAAAATTGTCCGAAGTAACTTTTATTAGTACAGGTGCGTTGTAATTCCGTCGGCAGATCTCGGATGGAATGTTTTTAACGACCGGAAAAGTCCGTTTAGCGTAATTGGTGGAAACGTCTTGATGAACATACAACGACAGAGCCATCTAGTGTCGTTTTTACGCTGTATGAACGAGTCGCCCGGTTTCACCACCACGGCCACCAGAACTGATATGATGCCCATTGTTCAGAACAAAATTATTTTTTTAAATTTCCAAACAGCTACTGAATACACAGTGAATACTTAGTTATAGTTAAAATTTAATAATTTATTCAAGTAGTCCAGTCTTAAACAAAATATTAAGATAATAAATAATTAATATCAGTTTAAGTCCTAGGATATAATATTATTATGTTTATGTGTTTCACATATTACACATTTACGAACCATTATATACAGATACCTACTTTGTAGATGTCAATGTATTTATGTACATAATTATGTAAATGTAAATATCGTATTTGAATTAATAATATTGAAGTACCTATTCAAGTTAAATTAATTTCAAATATATAGGTAACAACAATGATAATCAATGATGACTGATATGCAATAATGCGCATAGTATTATAAGTGTATCTGTTGGTAATCTTCACTATTCTTCTACACCTATAGCCATATAGTTATATAAAAACCAAAGATTTTATGTCTGTTTCATAGACATATTAATATGTCTATAGTATTTATGCATTACTACACTATTTCATCCGATCCCCGTGAAACTTTGGGGAGTTATTCTACGTTGTCCGAAGAAGGTTTATATAGTTATTGAAATCCATCCTCTGTTGAATACCATTTCCTAAAATTCCGTTTTTTAAGTATTTTCAGCATAAAAATCTAATTATTTTTGTTGATTTTATTTTATCATTTTTATTTAAGCGGGTACACTCATTAATCTCTGAAAGTATTAACATTTTCCGGGATTTGTTTTCTAGATTATTTAAGTGACAAGCTGCTTTACAATTGTATGTTTATTATTTTTTGTCAGCCTTATTTTCGAAGGTAAAACCACTACCCAATTTTGATTTTCAAATGGTAACCCAAATTAAAAATTCCATAAATATATGGAATATTAGTTAAAATAAATTTTAGTGCTAAAATTTTTGATTTCCATCAATCCCTTAACGAGATATGCCCTTTTAAGTTTGGGTTAGAGAACACTAGTGGTGTATCATTCGTGTGACGGTACAGCTCCACGGCATATTAATAATGCACCACTACTCTCCTCTAACCCAAACCCTAAAAGTGGAATATCCCGTCAACGAGATGAACATTTTTAATAATAATAATAATTGATTAAACTAATTGGTTTGATAAATAATTTTAAACCTAATATTTGGTTACAATAATAGCATCTTTACAAAATAATTTCTTGACCAATTCAATCAATACAATATATTACAATAGCACGGCTTATCTGTATATTATAAAATCAATAGTTTAATGAACCTAAAATCGCAAAAAAATATGATATTTTGGTATAAAAATAATAGGGCTTAACATTTAAAAACCACAATAGGCACATCTTTTATACTATCACAGTTAATATATAATATTGAAACCACAAATTAAGATACACAACGAGTGCCTGTTATCATCACGATTAAAAATATACAGGTTGACACTTGCCCAACGGGTTATGCAATTGTGACCACGAATTAAGATATATATTACAGTGAAACCTCTATATAGTGGACAACCAGTGGCGTGCCCAGGAATTTTAAATAGAAGGGAATGTAACGAATAAGAATAGTAAATAAATTGTAAAATAGTCTTTTTTAGAATTTAAAAGCCGGATTTTAAAAAAAGGAAATTTCTAATCAATACATGAAGCTTTTTCTCGCGTAACATGGCTGAAATATATGCATTTCAATATTAGACTACTAAATATAAGTATATTTTTTGTATTTTTAAACCAATGAGGGGGAATATAACCCTTAACCTCCCCCCCTGCGCCACTGTAGACAGCCATGGGGAATTAAAAAATGTCCACTATAGACAAGCGCTATAGAGAATTGGTTATACGTATACATACACATTAAAATTGGTATTATTTAGATATTACATAAATGCATTTATTATAATTTATAAAAATGTATTATTACTTATGTATAAATTATTTATTAGAATATGATTAATATTAAGTTTAATTTGTATTTATTATTTATTATAAGTATATGTATTAAAAAGTGGGTATAAAAATGTTAAATTTACAATGTATGTACAATTAAAAAAAATCTGTAATCTTTTTTTATGTAAATTTGTTTAGTATACAACTAATGTGTAATGACCGTACATATAACCGAACCAAATTTTGTCATTTATCAAATAGGAAAACCATTAAAATAAGATAAAAATGAACGAAATGTAAAAAAGATAAATATAGTATTTTTATTACTTAAATATTTTCTGTATGTACATTTATTGTATCCATTTATAAGAGGTAGTTTTAGATTCTGAGTAGAGAGAAGAAGTTTATGGTTTTACAAAGATTTTTATTTTATTTTTTTTTTATGTGTAAACTTTTTTTATACCAAAAAACTTGCTCCATTTTCTCCAGAGTTTTGTCAGCAAATATGAAAAACTGGGATAAAACTTAGGAAAACTGCAAAAACGTAGGGAAATTGGGAAAATCAATGAACAATAACATTGAATTCGTGATTAAAAAAAAAAACCCCATTAAAAATAATCTTTGTATTGATAATATTAATTGGAAATTAACCTCAATACGACCGATCCACAAAATCAACAAGTTGATAAAATATTAAAGAAAAAAGAATTCTGTTAAACATCATAAAAAAAATTTACATTGACTAAATCTATAAAAAATAATACAAAATAAAATAATAAAAATTATTTTAAAAAAGAATCATTTGTAATACACAAAATATCTATACAAAAAATTAAATATTCTAACATAAAAATAATTGTTCTATAACGCATCAGTAATTTATACAATTAAAAAAACTCTTAACACCTAGTATTGATCATGGATATAACACAAGTCAATTAGCAAACATTACTGTTCTTTTAATGCACAAAAAACTAACTTAATCTACAGGACCAAAAATATATAATATACTACCATTAAACATCAAAACAAATCTAACGTTTAATATTTAAAAAAAAATAATAACTGGCTGCAGAATGAACAAAATGTAAAACTTTAAATATTTGTACATCTTGTATATCTTTAATCTAGTTGCTTGTATTTGTATATTATCAAACTGTGTTATACATTAAGTCTACATGTATTAATTATTATTAACTACATTGTACATGTTTAAGTTAATTTTATCTAATAAGTCTAAAATTGTAAAAAAGTTAAATTTAAATTATTATTTTAATGTATTATTTTCCTTACAATTAATTGTAAACTCATGGGTCACCACACGAACCTGTTCAGTGGAGTCCATTATCTATTCGAAGAAATAAACAATAATAATAATAACAAAACAATATTTTATTTTATTTTTGGTATTGATCTAACTCGGCTAGTTATAAAATCCATTTTATTGGTAGATACTCGTTTATAGTATGGTATTTTGTCAATTTTACGTTCTAATTCTTAATTTCTTACTATGTTTCTTTTTTCATTTTCTAATTGTATGGTCACTTTATATTTTGATTTTTTTATTTATTATATATATATATATATTTATTTGTATATATATATATGTACTTATTTATTAATTATCATTTACTTATTTTTTATTATTTTATGAATCTATTTTTGAATGTTTAATGCTATTTAATCATGTTGTAATTGTTAATTTAAAGAGCATGATGCCTGTTCATGAAATATACAATAATATAAAAAAAAAAAATGTTAGGTCTGACAAACAAAGATGCGGCTACAAACAAAACTATGTTTAAGCATTTAGGGGTTTGTAGAAGTGAAACTGATTTTAAAATTATTTTTAAAAACCATTTGAAAGCAGACAAAAACGTATTGTATTTTAAGATGTCCCTCACACTATTAAGAATATTGAAAATCATTTGGAATAAAAAAAATATTAAAAGTAAGCAAATTTCAATAAATATATTTTATTATAATAGCACCTAAGATGCAAAATAAAACATTAAAACTATTACTTATTAGGTAGATCCTTTAAAGGACTCTGTGAAATGGCAAAATTATTGTGAAGCATTTGAACTTGATTCATTGCATTCATCAAAAATTTGAAGATACCTAACTAAAAATTGAATAGAATAATTGTGGAGGTCTCTACTTTTGGAGGAAATTTGATAAAATAAAATGAAGACTAATAAAAACTTTTTATTAACTGGTTGCCATTAAATAATTTTTGTTGAAGACTAAGATAAGTTTAAATCAATTTTAAAACTTAATAACTGATTAAAATAATTGGTATCAAAATAACGTTCTGATTTATTTTAAACTTAATATTTGATTACAATAATAGATGAATAGTTTTTAAATTAATTTTAAAAATAAATAATTAATTAAAGTAATTAGTTAGCTGATAATATTGTTTACTCATAAATCTTAAAATGAGATATCAATCATCATCATCATCAATAACAATTATTCCTCCAACTATTGAACAATCCTCCCTAGAAAAAAAATTGTATCATATTTTCTACATTAGTTCAATGATATAACTTATGAAAAGATTCATACTTAAATTCAACTTCAAGGTTTTTGAATTTTTCTGTCATGGAATTTCTTAATCCTGGTTCCAAACACCTTAATGATACCATATAAATTTCGTTTACCAATGACCGAGAGCCATACATGTATTCAAAACGAATATAGTCAATCCACACATCTATATATATAATATAAATTATAAGCATTAATAAGCTTTAAGAATACATTAGTTATAGAAGATAAAATGGCTTAAAACAAAGACTTAAAAATATATGAAAATTAAAACTCTATCTACTAATTTAAGTTTATATCATCTTCATAATATAGTTATATAAAATTAAAAAAATGTTACATGTCTCGCAAGTAAGCATTTTTACAGTTCTTTAACTTTAAAAGTATAATATAATAATAAATTACCTTATTAATGATAAGTAAATTGTATTAAATAAATACCTACTTACCAATGTCATTTTTACCGAACACATTACATATGTCATGGTGTAATTTCCTTATAGAACTTAATTTGGTAATTGATGAAAGTTGAGATTTTTCAGATGAAATCATAGATTTATACAGTTCTTTACATTCTGGTTCTATTTCTTTTAACTCATTAAATAACTCTCGAGAAGAAAGTATGCCATTATGAAATACATACCATTCTAAATATTGCGGCCTGATACATAAATTGATTTCTTTATATGGAAAACATGCCCCTTCTTGGTACAACTGTTTAAGCTACATAAAGACAATATAAATAATTCATTTATTAACTGACTCTTTATAATCCTTCACATAATAACATTAAATTTTTAACCTTATATATTTAATGGATATACTTACAAAATTTGGATGAGTATTATGCATGTACAAGATAACAATTTTCCATAAGGGCAATGATCTGTTTGTCAAAGCCCTAACACCAGCTTGAAACACTTCAATGGCCATGTCAAAACTGTCAAAGTCCACAAAGTATGATAATAGTTTTACCCAAATTTCTACAACATTATCTTTTACAACATCAACTGCTTCAATTAGAATCATATAGCTATCCTTCTTTGAGTTCATAGCCTAAAAAATAAATCATCCTTTTATTAAATATTTTTTATGCCTTTTTTTGTTTTTTTTTGGTTGGTGTTAAAAAGTTCAATAAAGCATTTAACACAATTCTTTCAGGTTCTTCTGATTATCCCAATCTACTGCATTGTTGCATTTTCCATTTCTATTGACTAGTCAACATCTAGAATATTTTTTCTTGCCCTTTCTAACTACCCTTACTAAAGTCTTCCCAGTCTTTAGCTGGTTTTTGTTGGTTTTCTATCTAGAAAGATAAGATTTTCATCAGTCTGCCGAACATTGCCATTTATTTTGTATTTGGTATTTTCTGTATTTTTTAACTGTATTTGGTTATACACAATTTTTCACTGTTCATATTATCTTTCAAGCGTTCAAAATAATCCACCTAACTATATCTAATATGTATTTTTATTGATTAAATTAAACAGGCTTAACCATTTTTTTTACAACTAATATATATTAATAATGGTATTTCCAACTGCATTGTATTATAATAATGATAAAAATATAATAAATATTATTTAAAAAATTATAAAAATGTTGATTGGGAGAGGACTTAGTGTTAAGAATGCGATCTGCATTAGCCAATGCCATCAATCATCAAACAAGTTCATTTTTTACAAAATTAGTTGAACAAATAAGAACAAGGACAATTTTAGATAGGAAATTATACTTCATTAGACAATAAGTCTTTGTAAAACATTGTACAAAACATATGCATGCAATCAGTAAATAAAGACATTTCAAACCGTGCAGCAACTGGAGATCAGACGATGCAATAGTTGATGAATATAATAGAATATAGACCTACTAAACTTTTTTCAACTTGTTAAGAATATGGATTCAAAATAATATAAAACATAGGTTGGTAAGTCAAAATTTGTAATGCCAAATAAATAACCAAGACCGAGTTCAGATACAACAGAGTATATAGAGAATTCAGCAATATTCAGCAGGTACCTGTTTATCTGACGAGACTGACTCTTTTGAAAAATAATTGCGTTCAATATTATTAATTGTGCATTTAACCATGATTTTTTTATTTTTAATGGGTATTGTACAATTGAAAATATTATGGTATCTAATCATTGAAAAATGAACTAGACTGGAAAGCAGAAACTTAAAACTTCTGCTGCTGTAAGACATTTTATTATTGAATGATACCAACACCAACAACTCTACCAAATGAATACATTGTATACATCAAAATAAAATTAACAAACTTATAGAGGCATACTATGTAATATTTTGGCACATTTTAATGGCATTTCAGTATGCTCAGTAATTATTTCAGAAAGATGGTTTATACCCAATAAATATAATGTTCCGCTTTGTATAGTGCTTTGTTGTCATGTGCTTCCTGAAATGCCCCTTCCATAGTCTCGTCCATAAAATTTCTGATTGATTCTTTTTTCATACGATAAGAATTTCGAATTTCTATCACGTGATCGACATAAAAATTCCACAGATTATGTTTGTTTTCTGGTGGTAAATTTTCTTTCAATCCGTCTTCATATGTTTTAATACAACTCCTTTAAAAATTAAATAATTATATTTTAAAACAATACACAATTTTTATAAAGGTTACCTTATTCCACTAATATAATTTGTGTCGTAATGCAATTGTTCTGTCTCGTGGTGGTATATAAATCCATCAAAACTAATTTTAGCCAATTTTTGCCACATAAATTCACTGTGTCTATATTTTATTACCATATCTCTGAAATATTACAAACATAAAAATTTAAAAAGGTAATAATTACTATTAAATAATTTAATAATTGATTCACACCTGACGACATTGCATTGCAATTCCCTAACTGCTCTTAATTGAATTGCTTTGTCCAACNGCTGTCTTTGAAATTCCATATCCCCTTTAAATCGTTTTATAAGGTGTCTGTATTTTCCAATTGCAGTTGGAAGTGAAGCACCTGCTGTCTTTTCTAAATGCTGAACTTCTATCCAAAATTCTTCTATGTGCAAGCTTTTACAATTTTTATGATATTTCAATCCTTCTATGAAATACCGCCTAGCAGTTTTAATGTTTTTTCGATCGTCAAATTCATATTTTGCCGCAGTTATGTATACTTCAGGATCACTGTGATACCCTGACATAAATGTATTCATCATATTGCTATCTTTACTAATGAATAACTTCTGAAAATAAATATATTTATTTTAAGTTTAACAATTAAGTATAATATAAGTAAGTTAAAACAAATTCTGTATCATAATAAATTAATTTAAGTTGATAATAACATTTAATATGCAAAAGTGCAAAATGCACTTCAATGTCATTTTTTTTTGTCACATAAATTCACTGTATCTGTAATTTTTTCCATGTATCTAAGATATTACAAATATAAAAATTTTAAAAAATAATAATTACTATTAAATATTTTTTGTTTTATAAGTTTTTTTTTCAGCAATTTGTTTCAATTAGAAATAATAAGCTTAATCTCATCAACAGATCGACAGGAATCAAAAATGTCAATACTAGAATTTGTTTTAACTAATATTCCATCTACTTATGTAATTTTTAATATAGGTTGTCATTTGAAAATCAAAAGTATGTAGAAGTTTTCCCTCAAAAATAAGGGTGATAAAAAAAATAACATAAATAAACAATTTTAAAGCAGTTTATGGATGAGTGTATCCCCTTAAATGGATTACCTTGTATTTTATTAATATTTTAAATATTACCATTTTTACAATTTTGTTACAAAATACCTTATATGTACAATTTGATTAATTTTAACAGAAACAACAAAAAAAAAAAAAACAAGAAAAGAAAACATCAACAATTTTTAAAAGTATTTTAGGAAATAGAATAAGACTTATTGATTACCTTAGTGACACAGATGAATAAAAACCACTGTCATTAATTTGTGTAGTGCAATCCCTGTGCTGTACGGTATTTTAAATTGAATGTTAATATCATAATTATCTGTCACGATAGTTATGTTTTTTTCTATCTTTATTTTGAATTTTTTTTTATTGTAAGTGCAAAACTTGTAATATTATATAATATCTTATTATCCTATATTCTCATGCCTTTAGCGCACATGTGCGTAGTGCTTTGGTGTCTCATGAGTCACGGTTAGGTCAGGTTAGGTTAGGTTAGGTCTGGTTATGAACTGGAAGGAAGCGTTGGGAGACGGAGTTTCTCTTAAATTTTTTCATATTTTGTGAGCACCCTTTCATATTATTTTCATTAGAACGGAGGGACGGAACATGTGATTTTATTGAAATAATATTGACATTTTGACTTTGATTGAAAAAGATAATTGTTTAAAGTATTATTTAAAGAGTTTTAGTTTTCAACATGTGGTAACACTAATTTAAGTGTGCGATAACAAAGATTAAATCAGAAGGATGGGTCACGAAAAACAATTTGCGTGTTTCCTGAGTTGTTTATCGTTTAATTTTGAATTTTAAATTTGAATCTAATTTAATCTATTTCGTATTTGAATTAAATTGTGAAATGTATAATATAATCTTAGAATGTCGCATATAATACCTAATAATACCTACCTACTTGAATATTTATTTAATTCGTACCATTCTCAGATGGTTATTGTTTTTTTAAAGTAGTAATGATAAAGCAAATAATCCATGTTATTATTAATTGAACCTATAAATTCTTGGGTAAAAATGATGTTTTACATTTTGTTTTTCTGGTATTATAATAAATTAAACGATTTAATTCAAATACAGGCAGATTAAATTAGATTCAAATTTATTCAAAATTGACAACAACATGAAACAATTAAACAACATGAAATGATAAATGATAAATAAATAACAAGTTTTTTAAAAAATATTCATTGTTGGTACATATTATTGATATATTATATTGTGATAATTTGATAAAGATCAGTTGATGGTATGAGAAGGTAAATCCCCCCACGGGTCAGGTTGTGTTTAATTATTGAAAAGGACGCAAATTTTTTTAAAGTATTTGAGTCCCCTCTCTCATATTTTTCCAATTCGATCACTGACTCGTAGAATGTAAAAAAAAAAAAAACTATAAATGTAAATATGATAGGTAAGTTTTAATTATACCAATGAATTAAGTATTAAAAAACACACATTTTGGAAAAAGTTAAATTCTATAACTAAGAAATACACAAAACGGAAAACCCTAACTTCATACATTTTTCCCCCCATAACTTCCAAACCAAGTTCGTCTGACTATTTCTTTTTTAGATTATAAATGTAGAGGCAAACACATGTATATTGAAAAAAAAAACGATGTCCTAGGATAATAGAGACGGGTGCAGCCACTGTAATAGATAATTTAATGTATATCTATAAGCAACGATAAACCATTGCTAATGAAAAAACGAGTCAGAGTGCAGTTGAGTTGATAGGGATGCTTTGTCAACAATATATATACCATATTATAGTAAAGTAACTAAATAGGCTTTATATATTTTCTTTAATAATGTTTGTATTCCCGATTTTCTCATATTTTTCACATTTTCTGGGAAAAGTCTTGAGAAAATCGAAAAATAACCTCTTTAAAGTAACTCCCCAGTGAAATTACCTTTTAGAAAAACTGCTATAATTATAAGTCAAAGCGAAATTGCTGGTAAAAAAGTTGTACATTAAAAAAAGGGCATAATACTTTTTTACTAATACCTACATTTCGTACATTTTCCTTTTTACCGATATTTTACCTAAGTTTTTCCCGGATATTAAAAACAACTTAAAAAATCAAAAAATGACATCCCTAATTTACTATGAAGATAAAATTTCCTTTCAAAAAATAAGCTATACTTGATACATCGGAGCAAGATTTATGGTAAAAAGTTTGCACAACAAATCAAGGGGTACTATGCGATTAAAATAATCCGAGTGAGCGATAGCTAGGATCTCTATGTACACCCAAAATGAGTCTTTTTCCTTTTTCAAGTAAAAGGGGGGAAAAAATGCAAAATATTCTGATCGAAACCGGGGTTTGAATTCAGGACTCATGGGTATCATGTACAACCATAAGATCACAACAAATATTCTTAATAAGGGACATTATAGAGTTATTTAATATAACATATAATATCCACATAATATCAAAACCTTAAAAAGCTAAAATTTCGAAACTTATCAGTCCGCTTAATTTTGAATTCACCGTCATTCTTAAATCGGCAATATATATGTTCAAAAAAAAAAAAAATTGAAAAATTAGATTTGTTCTATATAATTTTTTACTTAAACAATTTTTGTCAAAATTTGATACTTAAATTCCTTTATAAAAACAAAACTACATTATACTCAAATTTTAATTTTTGACCACAAAGTATGACTTAATGAACCTCTTGTTAAATTTTCAAGCCTTACTGTTAAGTCTAAAAATTTTCCCACAGAATAACTACCAAATAAAAATTACCAAACTCGTAAAATTAAAATGTCTAAAATAGCTTAAAATATTACCACGTCTATAAAGAACATGAAGCAATATAAATATAGGCTATTATACATTTTTTGTCCCAATTTCAAGTCTCTACAAATATTTATAACTGAATTACAACAAATAATAAAATTAAAAAATAATAAAAGCATTATTTTCATAAATTATCCGTTTTTCTTACGTTTTATTCTGGTTTTTCCCAGATATTATGAATACCCCTAGGAAAATCAAAAAATCACTTCCAAAAGTACTATTTGGACAACATTCCTATTAGAAATGGTACCACGCGTATATATCTAAGCAAGATTTCTGATAGAATTTGTGTACACAAAATAAATAAATGATAATAAAAAAAAAAAACTTAATAAAACCAATACATTCTTCGCTACACTCAGAAATTAAAAATTTGAAAAATGAGGTTGGGTATTAACTAGATTATACCTAATTGTATATTCAAAAAACGTTGATGAACCAAAACTTATGTGAACAAATTTATGTATATAGGTACCTACTAAAAAACAGAACAAATAAAAACTACTTTATTTTAAATGTATTATTTAAAACTACATACTATGATTAGAAATAGTATTATCATTATTGAATAAAATAAAAAAAATAAAAAATGTTTATATACTATGTATCAATTTATTATCGACTATTCAAACGCTATTGAATTTATTTGGAATGAGCTAAGAGCAAGACGAAAGCAGATATAACAGTAGTTTGGTGGAACTAGAACAGAAAATAAAGCGTCATATATTGAACTCTATGAAATATTCTCCAATAAAATTTTTATCCGCCGTGATTTGTATTTGCGGTCTGTTAACTTCTTTGCTTCTGGTTCTAATGAATTTCACCCTGCTAACTTACTTTCTACATTTTGCTTGTCGAATAATTGATTTTCCTTTACCCAAGATGTTTTTGATGTTCTTTCTGCGCTGGGCAGTAATAAGTCGTCGGGACCGATGGTTTATCTGGTTTCTTCTTGTTTAATCTTAGGCATGTGATATTACAACTCATTAACTACCAACTAATTTAACTAGTAAAAGTGTTGCGATAAATTTGGAAGTACTAGGTAGATAGGTACCTGGATTATTTTAGGTTCATTAACAAATAATTTTGCTGCTTTACATAAATATTATAGGTAAGTAATATATAGTGTAATTACTTTAAATTTTTAGTTGAAAAAATCATTTTTGTATTTGTAACAAATTTGACCATGCATTTACTATATTTAGTTGATTCACTTTAATGGTCTATAGAAATATATAATCAACTTTAAATTTAATGTCATAAAAAAATTCCTCTATTCATAAACTATACAGTAATAAAAAAGATCGACATATTTCGCACAATAGGTGGGCCACTGTTGTGTGAAACTGGGAGGGTAGGATATAAAATAGGGGAATTTAATGTTTATCTGTATGTTACGATTAATCTCTACTGACGAATAACGATTTGTGTATAATAAACATGTAATTGAGTATTAATTTATAAAATGTACGTATTAACTCTTATCATTAAAACACAGAATACAATTCTAAAATAGAACTTTAAAAATTTAACAAAAATTCTAAGTTAGAAAGAAAAATAAGTATATAGTAAGAGTAGTATTTATAGAAATATATCTATAAAAATAGTACTGTGAATTATGTAATATAATTTATATATTATATTTATTTATTTAGACAGAGAAAACTTCATTTAAATATTAGTTATTATAAAATTAGCAGTTTAACATATGAGCAGTTTAATAATTTATTTGAAAATGATATAATATACAAAAAATTGTTTGAACATAAATTTAGAGCATAATTATAAATATTAACCAAAATATATAATATAATATAAATCTTACATAATTAAATAGTATATACAGTACTATATTATAAATAAGTTCTTTAGCTACATATTTAAAGTGGTTTTAACATCTCCTGGCTTACAATAAAATAAATCTAAATTAGTAGTATTTCCTAGTCATTAATATATTAACTGGCAATAATAATAAATATTTAGTTTTAACATGATGGACAAAAAAGAAAATTCTCTATTTCTCGTGTTTTGATTACAAATTATAAAATTAATTTTGTTTAAGATTCAGGGAAAGTCTGTATTATCATTTATAAAAAAATGTAAAGATGTTATATAATATAATAATCAGGCTAGTTTTCCCAAATTTTTTTTAACTACTCCAGCGTCATTGAATTAGTATGAAACACTAAATGAATCTTTGTGTTATTTAAACATAAATATTAAAGATTTATAGAGATCAAAGAAAAGTTTTCTTCAAATAAAGAAAACCAAAATCAAAAAAAAAAAAACAGAAATAAAAGGCACTCGTGAGCAGCAAAGCTTGGTCACTGGTGAAATAAAAATAATATAAGAATATGATAGTCGATTTTATAGTAATATTTGCTGGTAGAATAAAAATGAATGAGCCAAATGTCAGACCATAAGCCAATCAGTTCAACACTTATGAAGGTTCGGCATCTCCACAAAATAATTTGTAGATAAACTTCAATCAATATAATAGCAAAACTTGTCTGTATATTATAAAATCGTGAAAAACATGACATTTTGGTATACAAATGATAGAGCTGAATATTTAAAAAACACAATAGACACATTGTTGACATCACAGTTAATATATACTTTTCAAACCGTATTACTTAATGTGGAGAGTATAGTNGTGAATTTTAAGAGTTTCAACCCAAAAAAAAAAAGACCCAATTTGATTTATATACAAAATTGTATGCCCATAACTTCATTTTGAGGATCTGTAATGGTGTTCAAATGAGAAAAAGCATCTTGTCCCTCAAATGTGCTGAGATTCTGACAAAAATGTATCACTTTTATTATTTCAATCTGCCTATAAAATAATTTCAACTCGCATATTTAATCTTATTCGGCTCAGAGTGTGTCCCTTGAAGAGACCAACAGTAGTAGGTATATAATTTTTTTTTTTTATATTTCAATGATTGCGATAGTCTCTACTTTCAGAGGAAATTTGATAAAAATAAAATTAATAGTAATAAAAATTTTTTATTAGTATTTATTTTATTTTAAGATAAATTTAACTTAATAATTGATTAAAATAATTGGTATCTAAATAACTTCCTAATTAATTTTAAACTTAAATATTTGATTACAATAACAGGTGGATAGTTTCTAAATTAATTTTAAAACTAAGTAATAAATTAAAGTAATTAGTTATTTGATAATATTGTCTTGAAGTGTTTAATTTAGGTAGATAATATTTTAGATTATTTGTTTACTTATAAATATTGATATGAGATATCAATCATCATCAATAACAATTATTCCTCCATCCATTGGGTCTTCTTGTCTAAAAAAATAATTCTAATATATTTTTTACATCAATACAATGGTATATAACACATGAAAAGATACATACTTAAATTCTTTATTAAGTTTTCCAAATTCTTCTATAAATATTTTTTACTAATGACCGAGAACCATTTGTGTATTCAAAATGAATACAGTCAATCAACACACCTTTATACATAAATACATATTATAAATAATGATTTTTAATTAACTTTAAGGATACTTAATTATAGAAAATAAAATGACTTAAAGAAAGACTTAGAAATATATGAAAATTATAACTCTAACAACTAGTTTCAACTAGTGGTTAAAGTGGTTGAAGCCTATGTCATCTTCATAATATAGTAATAGAAATATTAAAAATCTTTTAGAAGCTTCACAAGTTAAAAAGATGTCCTAAGATAATGGAGACAGGTGCAGCCACTGTTCTAGGTAATTTAATATATATCTATAAGCAATGATAACGCATTGCTTACGATAAAATGATTCTGAGTGGAGTTTAGTTGGTAGTAATACTTTGTCAACAATATACACCCATTTTGGGTAAAATTTCCTTTTAGAGAAATTTTTATCATTATAAGTTGAAACAAAATTGCTGATTGAAAAAGTGACCACAGAAAAAAAAAGTCGTAATATTATAAAAATATATTTTTGTACATTTTCTTGTTTTTTTTTTTTTTGATTTTTCGCATTTGATGAGAAAACTCTCGAGAAAATCAAAAAATTACCTCTTTAACCATTTAACTTTCAGAAAAGGTGCAACACGTAAAAATTGGAGCAAGTCCTCTGGTAGAAAAGTTGTCCACAGAAAAAAAAATAAACATCCTTGTAAAACCATAGGCTTTGTCACTCCACTTAGAATCTAAAATTAAAAAAATATAATATAATAACAAATTACTTTATTAATGTGAGATAAACTACTTTGAGTTAATCCCTACTTAGTAGAAGATTGAGATTTTTCATATAAAATCATAGATGTATACAATTTTTAACATTCTGGTTCTATTTCTTTTAACTCATTGAATAGTTCTCGAGTAGCAAGTATGCTATTATGAAGTATACACCATTCTAAATATTTAAGCCTGATATATAAATTGATTTATCCATATGGATAACATGCTTCTTCTTGATACAACTGTTTAAGCTACATAAAGACAACAATATAAATAATTTAGTACCAATAAAATTATAACATTTAATTTTAAACAGTTTATATTTTATGGATATAATTACCAATTTTAGGTGAGTAATTTACATGTACAAGATAATAATTTGCCACTGATTAAAGGCAATAATCTGTTTGTCAAAGTCCTAACACCAGCTTGAAACACTTTAATCGTCAATTCAAAATTGTCAAAGTTCACAAAGTATAATAATAAATTTATCCAAATTTCTTTTACAACACCAACAGCTTCAATTAAAATCATATGGCAATCCTTATTTGTATTCATGGCCTAAAATATAAATTATTATTTAATATGCTTTTTTTTTTCAGATTTTCAGTGAAGCGAACAAGCTTATAGTTTTACAAAGATGTTTATTTTTTTTCATTTGTGCGCAGATTTTTTTGAATTTCTATATGTAGCACCTTTTCTGAAAGGAAATCTGCATAAGGGGGGGGGGTTACTTAGGGGGTCATTTTTTTATTTTCTCATGAATTTTTCCAGTGAATGTGAAAAACCGAGATATAACCGGGGGGAAAACATAGGAAAACTGAGAAAATCGGTACAACATTAAACAAATATTATTAAAGAAAATATATAGAACATATTTAATTATTTGAATATAATATAGCATATATATTATTGAGAAAGCATTACTATCAACTGAACTCCGCTCAGTATTGTTTTATCGTTGCTTACAGGTTCACATTAAATTATCTATAACAGTGGCTGCACCCGTCCCCATTATCCTAGGACGTCTTTTTTTTTTTTGGATTATTGTTAAAAAATCAATAAATCATTTTAAAGACAATTACTAAAGAGACTATCATCAACTATGAAGGAAACATTGGTTGGTAAGTCAAAATTTGTAATGCCAAATAAATAACCAAGACCGAGTTCAGATACAACAGAGTATATAGAGAATTCAGCAATAGGTCAGCAGGTACCTGTTTATCTGACGAGACTGACTCTTTTAAAAAATAATTGCGTTCAATATTATTAATTGTGCATTTAACCATGGTTTTTTTATTTTTAATGGGTATTGTACAATTGAAAATATTATGGTATCTAATCATTGAAAAATGAACTAGACTGGAAAGCAGAAACTTAAAACTTCTGCTGCTGTAAGACATTTTATTATTGAATGATACCAACACCAACAACTCTACCAAATGAATACATTGTATACATCAAAATAAAATTAACAAACTTATAGAGGCATACTATGTAATATTTTGGCACATTTTAATGGCATTTCAGTATGCTCAGTAATTATTTCAGAAAGATGGTTTATACCCAATAAATATAATGTTCCGCTTTGTATAGTGCTTTGTTGTCATGTGCTTCCTGAAATGCCCCTTCCATAGTCTCGTCCATAAAATTTCTGATTGATTCTTTTTTCATACGATAAGAATTTCGAATTTCTATCACGTGATCGACATAAAAATTCCACAGATTATGTTTGTTTTCTGGTGGTAAATTTTCTTTCAATCCGTCTTCATATGTTTTAATACAACTCCTTTAAAAATTAAATAATTATATTTTAAAACAATACACAATTTTTATAAAGGTTACCTTATTCCACTAATATAATTTGTGTCGTAATGCAATTGTTCTGTCTCGTGGTGGTATATAAATCCATCAAAACTAATTTTAGCCAATTTTTGCCACATAAATTCACTGTGTCTATATTTTATTACCATATCTCTGAAATATTGCAAACATAAAAATTTAAAAAGGTAATAATTACTATTAAATAATTTAATAATTGATTCACACCTGACGACATTGCATTGCAATTCCCTAACTGCTCTTAATTGAATTGCTTTGTCCAACAGTATGAAATGAAATTCCATATCCCCTTTAAATCGTTTTATAAGGTGTCTGTATTTTCCAATTGCAGTTGGAAGTGAAGCACCTGCTGTCTTTTCTAAATGATGAACTTCTATCCAAAATTCTTCTATGTGCAAGCTTTTACAATTTTTCGAATATATTTACATCTTATAACACGTAAACGTAAATTCAAACACAAAACTTTGAATATTCAAGTAAAATAATATATTGCATGATAAAGAATAAGATTAGCTAATATCACAGACATATAAACATATTGAAGTTAGTAACCATGTAATATAATTTTTATTATCAATATTTGTTAACCACTTTACTTAAGTAAACAAATAGGTATTTTTTATTTTACAAACTTACATTTAACTTTTCAATTATCTAGTAGTGCAACGTTTCGTTAATATTTTTAATATTTAAGTGGATTTAGAATGAATAATATTCATATTATATTCGGACATACTTTGCACGGTGGTAGGCCACTGTTGTCGGTGAGATGTTTGGAAGGTAGAATATAGAAAGGAATTGCATCTGTACGCAATATTTGTATATCTGTACGCAACAATTAATTATTTTTGCTTATAAAAAAACGATTCCGAGCGGGGTATATGTGTTTTTAATTTTTACGATTTTTGTCAACATTCGATATTATTTATTTTTCTTTTTAGCACAAAGTACGACATTTATAAACTTCCTGTTATTAAATTTTCAAGTATTTTTATTTGGTCTAACAATTTTATCTCCAGAGTAGGTACCTACGTACCAAATAAAAATATACCTAAAAACCTATCAAAATTCAAATGTCTCAAAAATTTCAAAGTGTCATAACTTCAAAAATAATATTTTTCGCACCATCATTTTGAAAATCTCGATTCTTCGAAGATTATAAGAAAGGTTGAAAATCTAAAAAGGGTTGCCACTCTAGATTCGTTCCTCAATATTTTGTATTAAAAAAACCTACTTATAATTTTATTTACCTACGATTCATTAAATGAAGAGATTAATTCGTCGTAAATATTAATTATAGACGCATCCATAGTTGCAATAATATTATGTAAATAATAATTAAAGAAATAATTATATTACCATAAAATATAAATATAATTAACTTTACATTCTAAATTAATTATTTCAATTTTAAAAAAAATATTAAAAATACAATTACCTATTATCGTGGGAATATAAAACAGCAGAACTGTATTTTAACCGACCGTATTTAAGTTGAAATGATCAACAAATATTTAAGCGGAAAAATATTTCCACCGAAATTAAATCAACCGAATCGCCCGAAACTCTACTAATTAACTTGTATACATTTCTTAAAATTGTTTTTAATCAGAAAATGTTGAATTAGAAACACGTCAATACTTTAAACAAACATTTAAAAGCACGTGCAAATTTTGAATTATAATTCCGACACAATATTGAAAAAATAAAAAGAAAAAAATAATCATAGAGCGATATTTTGAATATTTTCTATGATAAAACTATATATAATTTAGTTAGGTTTATAATCATTATAAATTTTAATTTCAACCAATTGTAAAAACATTTAAATTATTATTCAATTGTAGATAAATTTACTATTATTAACTTCATTGCATAAAAAAAATCTTAAAACAGAAGTGGGTAAATTGGGGGAGGAGGTGTCTGTCTAGATGACTTTGGTTTTACATTTCAAAATATTAAGTACGGAATTTCTTATTAAACGGTATTCTGGAATGTATGATCAAATCAGTACATTAAAATCGACTATTATATATCTCGTTTTTAATGATCGTACACAGTTATAAGACTTGACGTCAATCAGTGTATAGGTTATCAGTAGACCACTCAAACTATCCATCATCTAAATCGTGTACAACTGATGGACTTCCGATATTAGATAACATTACTGAAACCAATATGGGTTACAACACTCAAATCGTATAGGTTGGAAAAAACTCTCGAAGTTAATCAGAGTATGAATTATAAGTG